AGCAAGTATGGAGTTTGAGATGCTGTCTCCCCTGACTTCACTTTCGTGGGGGCGCTCGCATCCACAACCCACACCCCCGCGCCCGTGGCGGCTGGCTGGGGGTTTCTGGGAGTTGAAGTCCACCCGTCTTAAAGTTGCCAAGGTTGAGGAACCCTGTGTTAGAATACAGCCCCCAAGGCACCCAGACTTTAGCCATATTACTTGGGGACATATGGAAGTAGAAGCCCAACATGTCTGGAGGGTACCCAACTGGGGAAGAAGGCTGCAGTAAAACATTAGAAGACAAAAAGAGCTTGAGTGGTAGAGGAGCAACAATTGCTACAAGCATTAGATTTCAGGAGGGAATCCAAAAGCATTAATTCTGGTTTAATTGCTCATTTCCTTCCATTCTCTGCTCTAAAAAAAATGAGGGTACATCACATCATTACATAAAAACTTCTAAAGCAGTTAGTTTCCAATCTGGGGAGAGGGCAGAGGGAAATGCACAATAGGCAGAACATTTCTTACAAAGCAGTATAGCCTGCCTGGGGAGCAGAATGCATCTACCTTCAGGATCCCCAAATAATGTGTGGAAGTTTGCCGCTCCCAATGGGACCCTGAGCAGCATCTGCCAATTTCACTGGGGCTCATTTGCGAAGTTCATTAGGGATAGAAAGCAGCAGAATAAAGGCACCAACTCAAAACAGTTGTTGGTGTTGGCCTGTATGATCAGCGTTCCTTGCAGCCTGCCCAGGTGGTGAGGGAGCTGAGCTACACAAAGCACATGCACATCTGGGGTGGCCTAATGATTCAAGAATTTTTAGACCTGCTTTTCCCAACTTAAGGGCACCAGGATGAGAAAGGCTACAGTACTGTGGTTTCATCACCAGCACATCTGCATACTGTACCTCCTGCCACCCCCCAAACAGGTCAAGGTGGCAATCATGGAACAGCTTTGCCATCCCGTCTCTTCTTACAGCCCTGCAAGGTATATGGGGCAGACTAGAAAGTGGGTGGACCAAAGTTGCTGGCCCTGCTTCACCGCTGAGAAGACTCAAATCCTATGCTCTGCGAACATCACACTAGCTCAGTTTAAGTCAAGCTCCCCCAGTCTAGTGTTCTCCAGATGGGTTGGACTGCAACTCCCATAATACCTACCAAGCACACCTAATACTAAGGACTGGGGGACTTAAAGCCCAACCCATTCAGAAGAATGAAGTTGAAGAAACCGGATTCTTTTTTATGTTGTTTTTCTACTGTTATTTTATTTAGTTTCCCCCCCTTTTGTTACAGATTAAGAACAATTGGGCTTTTTTTTCCTTTAAAAAAGGTCACAAGGAAACTTCTTTTGTAATTCCTGCCCATTTCAAAAGCAGTTTTCCCTGGAACAAGGAGAAGGAGGGATTATTTCTGAAAGATTAAATAGCCACCCTCAAGGCCCCTTTGGGCTCGCCATTTCCTGCATCCCTTCCTTAAGATGCTGCTGATTTCCAGCCAGCCTCTCATCCAGGGACCTCAAGAGCCAGTCTGCTTAATTCTCACCCATCCAACTCAGAAAAACACAACAAACAGAGCTGGAAAAGTGTGAAGGGGGGATGTTTGTAAGAGCCCAGAAGACTGGATTTCTCTAGTCTTGTGTGTTGGACGTGAGAAGATGATGATGTAAGATTATGGATTAGGTCCAGGGGAAGATGACCCCAGTCTCAATTCTCTGAGAGCCAGCACTGCCTTCTGAAATATGGCTTTCTGGAGCAGAAATTACCCTTTGGAGACTGTTAGGACTCATCATGTTAATAGCCCCCATGACCATTCCTCACTTGGTTCATTGCTTTCACTGTGGATCTCACAGCACCTTCACCCTCATATCCCCCCAGCTTCCCAGCAATCCCCTAGTTCAGTTGCATAAACAATAACATAGTCAGGCTTACTTCTAACTGTTCTGAGCTCCTCAACATTTCCTCTCTACAATGCCAGAGTTTTTCCAAGACT